AATGATTCAACTTCGCTTATGGCTATAATTTTTCTTGGTAATCCTATGCAATATATTATGCCATTTAGGCTTTGTTATGTAGTCAATATCACACTTTATATTTGTGGAAAGACATCTATCTATATAATTATTGTGCATTATGTAGTCATTACGCCTATAGTAGAAAACTTTCCGTTTACAGAAAAACTAGAGCCAATTGACAAATTTCATTGTTATATTTGAACTCAGAATGTGAAATTCATTAAGAAATGGATCCTTTTGTTTCCAAAACTGGCAAAAAATAAAAATTTGTTGAACAGTGTAATCTGTGCAGTCACAATTACATCCACAGGTTGTAAGATCACTGCTCAGTGAGCTAAGTGCTAGTCAGAGCTGCTGATGAATGGGAGGGAGCAATATGCTGGATCACTTTCACAGAGCTGGGCACCTTTGCAGGCTGCAGGCACACTGATCACTGAAGTAATCAGTACTCTTTGAGTCTGCAAAACCTAAAGCAATGTGTACAGGGAGGGAGCAGGGAATGGAGTAGGAGCTGGATCAGAGAGAAGAGAGAGCTGGCAGGATGTCACAGCCAGTGAGATGACAGCTAAAGCAGCCGGCAGGATGACTGAGCCGGCCAGATGACCGCTAAAGAAGGCAGCAGCCAGTAGGATGACAGCCATCGAGATGCCAGCTGAAGAAGCTGGCAGGATGACAGAGCCAGTGAGATGACAGCTGAGGAAGCCTGCAGAATGACAGAGCTGGCGCTGGCAATGAGGATTTTTTGCAGTGATTAGGGAAGGGGCCGTGAAAGGGATACTGGAGGGGGACACTGGTTTGAGACACTGAAGTGGGGCACTGGCAAGTAAAAACAGCACAATGTCAGCATGTGCACTAGAACTGTGGACTTTACAGACTGTTTGCATGTAATCAGAAGCTTGTTAGCTACTGATTACATCTATTCAGTAAAGTACAAAGTGTCAGCTTCCATTTGAGTGTAAATTCATGGTTGTTAAAGCAAACATGACTTTACAGCCTTAGAAAATGCAAGATCCGTACAGCAAACAGACCTGGCCAGCTGGAAGCAGTGCTGTAGGTCTGTACGCCATACGGACCTGGCAGCGAAAATGTTAAAGAACTTTGGTGTAATAGAAAAGCTGGTTTGTGTTTAAAATCGGAATGTTTTAAAGTTTTCAGGACCTTGCATTAAAAGGTTTGTTTCTATCCTCTCTGTTACAGTATATTAAACTTCCCAATCTGCTACCACAGTTTATGTAGATTAGAATGGGAGAATTTCTTGTTTGAAGCCTGGAAATGATATTTTTCTCATTTACCTAAATAATTATATATAAATAAAAGACCATTTGCATAATAATTTGGAACAGGGTGTGTGTGTGTGTGTGTGTGTAGATATATATATATATATATATATATATATATATATATGTATGTATGTGTGTGTGTGTATATATGTATATATATATATATATGTGTATGTGCGTGTGTGTAATAAATAAATATATATATATATATAATGTCTAGCTAGGTTAGGTACAAATGGCACATATAAATAATGTAGCGCACCCCACAAATGACACATAATACAATGAACACCAATACCAAACATACATGAGTGCATAACAATGATACTATGTATTCTTTACTCAGTGACAAAGAAATATATAAGAATAATCCAAAACCAAATGAAAACCATGATGAAACAAACCAGTCTCTGTGGATTATTTGTCCTTCAAAATTATGTAAACTTGTGCAATCCCATCTTGTGTGTTCTTGATACTGTTAATCTGCCACTTTCCCGTGTGCAGATCCCGCATGAAGCAAACCCCACTTACCCATGTAGATGGATCACTCACTGATGCAAACAACTGCTGTTAGACCTTTCATAAAAGGGTAATTTTGTTCCAAACACCAGAGCTGGTCTCTCCCACTTCTTCCACTCCAAAACATGTCAAGCCAAGTCAAAAGGATAAGAGACTCCAGTGTGACTCTAGTGTGAATGCATTTTAAAATAAAACCGAATGCACGCAATCACACACGCATGTGTGAGCATATTAAGCACCATGTGTGTGATTATGGCAATGGATGTTTGCAGACTTTGATGGATGGTGCAATTGTAGGTGATGTTGAGCTGTTCAATCAATGCAAGGGAGGAGAGGAGAGTACCAGATATCTTACTGGCTAAATTTAACAAAATCACTTCAAGAACCTAGTTTTGCTGATTGTTTTTTTATTTGTGGTTAAGTTTATAAGTTGATATACATTTATATCCAATTTTGCTAAGAGGTTTTACAGGGTCGATTCCTTATAACGAATACAGAGATTATTATGTCCACAAAATTGAGATGTCTTAATATTTGTTGGTACTTTCTGCTTTTCTCATGTTGGATTATCTCTAGCTTCTTGTAATGTGCATCATAAAGCTGTAAATTGCCTCTCTAGCAATAAAAACATCTTTATTGAAAAAAAAAAAAAAACTCTACCAGGTGATGCCCAAAGAGAGGGATCAGATGCTATGTGCAACCTTATATATTAAAAGTTCATTACAGCTATGTAGATAAATGTTATTTTGTCTAATGCCATTTCTGCCACAATATAGCACATATCACAATACTATCCAACTAGTAACTACTGGCTGTTGAATGCTTAAAGAATATGTAACCCCTACAATTCATATTCCTGATATGAAAAAGTATCCTATTCTTTGTATTGATTCTTTGTATTGTGTGAAATCCTTGGTGTTCCTGCCAGTCCCTCTGATCAAAAACTGACCACATGAGAGCGCATCATGGTAATTTCTCTCTGTGCTGGCAACTCTGTGTGCTCTCTACTAATGATCAGGCTTGTGCTGCTGACACAACTTCCCCTAACCCCCCATGCACAGCCTTTCACTGGGAAGATTAGTGTACTGCTGTTTTTCTCCTCCACCAGTTCTCTATGCTTTTGAGAACAGAGGCTATAGGAGTTATTTACTAAAACCAGAAAGTGCAAAATCAGGTGTATCTCTGCATAGAAATCAATCGGCTTCCAGGGTTTTTTGCCAAAGCTTAATTGAGTAAGCTAAAGTTAGAAGCTGATTGGCTATCATGCACAGCTGCACCAGATTCTGAGGGCACCAGTTTTAGTAAATCTACCCCTATGTGTCCACTTATACAAATGGGGAAAAAAAGGTATTTATAATGTTTTTATCGCATATGGGTATACACACGTTTTTACCTTTTTTTAATTTGTTTTAAACTGTTTGGGTTGTTTTAAAAGGTGACGGTTTACATAGACTTTAAGATGGCAACAGCACAAACTAAGAAACTTTTGTTCTGAAGTTTCTGAATTATTGGTTCACAGCAGTCAACAGACAAATTGTTAGCTGGAAGCTAGAAGACATTAATATCTGAGGCAGTTTGAAATGAAAATAGCAAATCATTCTGTTTATTTATTGTGGTCCTTACAAAGAATTTGTCTGTGTCACTGTATTTCATCATAAAGAGACAAATGACGCCGTGCAATGCAAAGTCTCATGAATGTGCAAGAAAATAAGAATTTAACAGTACTGCCAGTGCTCTGCTGAGTTTCTCTTTGGTGTTAAATGTAATATAGTGTGAATATTGGATGAAAGTTCATTAAAATATTGAAGCATGTTCAAGATCTTAAAAGATAAGTTCACCTTTTTGGGGGGAAAAAAAATAAATGCACATATTTGTGCAGAACAAATTGAGTTTATTTTCTTGTCCTACAGGAGCCTGCAAAGCTTTGCGCATATGTGCAGTGAATCATGAGTTCAATCTCAGGCCCCTGTAGACACATCCTCTTGCTTTCCTGCTTGTACCTCTGTAAAGGCTCTCTGTTGGAGAGCTGGAGGAATGGTTAGTGGACTACAAGGGCACTCATCAGCGCCCTTGCAGTCCATTGAGAACTACAAGTTCGTCTCCCATGGCAACAAGTCTTGTAGTTTCTTCACTCACAGATGACTGTGAATGAATGACTGGGCAGTGCAGGCAGAGCCCTGATTTTAAATGTTGCAGTGACTGGGGAATGGGGAGAAGAACCCCTGCCTGCTGTCACAGGCAAGGGTGGTGGTGGGGGTTTACTCGAACTTGTCACATGTTACACCGTAAATACGGGTGTAACAAGTTCCAAAGGTGAACTTCTACTTCAAGGTGAGTGATGAGTATCCCATCATTCTCTGCACACCAGCTGAAATATTCACCCTTTCAGATCTAGTGGAAGGGGAGAGTGAAAGGAGCTTGACTGTTGTTTAAAATGTCTTTTAATTTTTCTTTTTAGTGACCTTGTGTTTTATAGAGAAAAAACAAATTACTCAAAATCTTTTTATCTTGTACATAGGGATTTAATTTTTTTAAGGATGAGAACCTGGTGGAACCTAGAAAAAAAATAAAACCAGGAGTTTCACCGATTGCTATGAGTAAGGACTACACGTTTGTTTTAAATTTTCTCATAAGGATAAATTTGAAGGCCAGCCCTATGATGATGGCAATTCCCTTAGAACCAATAGAACATTGGTTCTCCTTACCAGTTCTGTAATAAAGCTTTGATCAAATGTGACTACTGGATAACATAAATGTAAAATTGTATTCTTTAGGGCCGGTTCACAACAGAATTGCATTTCTGGGCATTGCCCTGCAGTGCGATTTTGCAGCCCATTCATTTGAATGAGCTACAAAACGCAGCAGAAAACAAAGTAGTGCATGCACTACTTTTGAAAAGTGCGTGCACCAGATTGCATGGTGCCGCAGTACCATGCGATTTGGTGAGGCAAACGCAGTGTGTATCCGATCTGTGTTTGGGATGCTGTTAACATTGTATTGGCAAACGCAGGAAATTGCAAAGGCAGTGCTTTTTGAACACGGTGTGGGGTGGTGCATAGAACATGCCTTTCCTGCACCACGTTCTGGTGTGAACTGGCCCTTGATGAGTTTAACAGATGCAGTGTTTTTCTTTTTTTTTTCTTTTTTTTTTTTTTTTATTAAATGGATTATTTCTTTCAGCTACTAGAAAAAAGTTGTTGGAGATAGCCCGGGCTTTTTCTGAGAGAACAAAGATGAGGAAGTCAAAGAGGAAACATCTGCTCAAGCATCAAGTGTATCCTTATCATTTTGTAACTGTATTATATTGTATTTTTGAAGTGTATCTGTAGCCAAAGCTTTTAAAACTTATTTTAACCCTCTGAGAAAAGAAAAAAGAAACCACCAAATAGTTTGGGCTCGGTGCTAGAAGGTAGTGCTGCACACTTCTTATTTTGTTTTTCCTGTATCAAAAAAAAAAAAAAAGAAGAGTGCGCAAAACCTCTGACCATAAAAAATCACAATGAAAATAAAAAATAAAATGCTACAAATAATATCAGCATCAATAAATAAAACTACCAATATAGTGGAAAAATAAAAGCCTAGTCCGTATAAATCAAATAATGGCATCATAGAAAAAATAATCCAAACCCAAAGGGATATACTGGGCTCTACTAGGAGGCTAATATAAACAATTATGTGTGAAATTCCACTCCCAAAAGAATATTTCAGGGCTCCACTAGAAGGCTGTTGTAGTATCTTGTGTGAAAATGAAATACCACAGTTCCATGCATTTCAATCCCAGTCACCTCGGACATAGATATATGAATTCCCTTACCCAGATAACAATGATCTCTAGATTATAAGAGATCACTAGTGCAGGATACACCAAATAGGAATCACACCAGAGTATGATAACAACCTTCATGCCCAGCAAGTCCTCTGCTGGCTGTCCAGAAGGTACAATTCTCTGCAGTAAGATTCAGAAGAAAATATTAAGGACCATAGAGTAATATCACTAACAACACCAATTTATTTCATGCAAATATACTCACAAGCTTCTCTGGGTAACAAAAGCTCAAAAACACCATGCTGCAGACACAAGTTGGTGTGATGTCATAGACCGCTAGCCCCTCCTTCCCAGTGAAATGCAGTGAAATACTTTTTGGCTGCACTCCAACTGTGCACATACCATTAAAAAATCCATTCCATCCCATAGGCACAGATCACACCACTGCAGTGCAGCGGAAAAAAAAAGAGCACTGTAAGTTAGACTCCTCTGCAACGCAAATGTGTGCAAATGCACAGTGCACACAAAGGCCCAAAGAAAAAAAAAACCTCAAAGGAAAGGAAATGCAAGCCCAGGAGAAACTGCACTACACATGCATGCTAATATGCACAAAAAACGCACATAAGTGCATGTGCCACCACATTTTCTGGTGTGGGTGGGACCTAAGAGCTGGCCATTATTATGTAAACAAACTTGCAAAGCAAACTGCTTCAATGTAGCCAACATTGCATTGAGATTCCAGCCGATTTGCTACTTTCTCTCAAATCATGGCAAAGTTATCATTGAATAAACAGGCCCATCCTAGACATATGGCTGAAATCAGTGGCAGCAGTCAAATAGATGAACAAGTATGCACTTGATTGAGAGTAAAACTGTTATAGGTGGTTTGCTTTGTTCTTTGAGATGGAGATTTTTCTATTGTCTTCATTTGCTGAGCAATAGTAATTTGCTTAACCTGAATGATTACAGTTAATTAAGAATCACATGTTTGCAGTCACCTTGCATTTTGTTCCGCTTAGTGGTCATGAAATGACTACCTATTTTAAATTAAAGGGTATGGCACTACAGAATGCATAAAATATACAAATAAATTAAGCCAGGAATTTTTTTTCATCACTGAATAATACAATGTCTTCTTCTGAGATAAACATTTGCAAGTAAAACAATATTTTTGCAGTGTGCGAGTCCTCAATGATGTGATTGTTTAGACATTTTATTGGCAATGTGCTTTTTAATGCTGTGACCTTAACTTAAAGTGCAGGTTAGGAACTGCAGCCTCCACAGCCAATCTTCTGGATGACATTGAAGGACATTCTTGTGGTAAACTTGTTTAAATGTATCTTCACTTTTATATGCACTATATTGCCAAAAGTATTGGGACGCCTGCCTTTACATGTATATGAACCTTCATGGCAATCCAGTCATCGTCCGTAGGGTTCAATATTGAATTGGCCCACCCTCTGAAGCTACAACAGCTTCAACTCTTCTGGGAAGGCTGTCCGCAAGGTTTAGGAGTGTGTCTATGGGAATTTTTGACCATTCTTCCAGAAGCACATTTGTGAGGTCAGGCACTGATGTTTGAGGAGAAGGCCTGGTTCGCAGTCTCTGCTCTAATTCATCCCAAAGGTGTTCTATTGGCTTGACGTCAGGACTCGGAGTTTGGGGTGGAGGAACTTGACTGGCCTGCACACACATCCATGTCTTTATGGACCTTTTTTGTGCACTGGTGTACAGTTATGTTGGAACAGGAAGGGTCCATGCCCAAACTGTTCTCACAAAGTTGGGAGCATGAAATTGTCCAAAATGTCTTGGTATGCTGATGCCTTAAGAGTTTCCTTCACCGGAACTAAGGAGCCAAGCCTAACCCCTGAAAAACAGCCCCACACCATAATCCTTGCTCCACCAAACTTTACACTTGGCACAGTGCAGTCAGGCAAGTACCGTTCTTCTGGCAACCGCCAAACCAAGAAACGTCCATCGGATTGCCAGACAGAGAAGCATGATTCGTCACTCCAGAGAACATGTCTCCACTGCTCTAGAGTCCAGTAACTGCATGCTTTGCCCCACTGCATCCGATGCCTTGCATTGCATTTGGTGATATATCGCTTGGATGCAGCTGCTTGGCCATGAAAACCCATTCCATGAAGCTCTCTATGCACTGTTGTGCTAATTTGAAGGCCACACGAAGTTTGGAGTTCTTTAGCTATTGACTCTGCAGACAGTTGGTGATTTCTGCAAACTGTGCACTTCAGCATGCGCTGACCCCGCTCTGTCATTTTACGCGGCCTACCACTTCGTGGCTGAGCTGCTGTTGTTCCCAGTTGCGTTCACTTTGCTATAATACGAACAGTGGACCGTGGAATATTTAGTAGTAAGGAAATTTTACAGATGGACTTATTGCACACGGGGCAACCTATCACAGTACCATGCTTGAATTCACTGAGCTCCTGAGAGCGGTCCGTTCTTTCACAAATGTTTGTAGAAGCAGTCACCATGCCTAGGTACTTTATTTTATTCACCTGGGGCCATGGAGGTGATTGGAACACCTGAATCCAATGATTTGGAGGGGGTGTCCCAATACATTTGGCAATATAGTGTACATAGCAGAAAATTGATGCATGTGGTCACAGTGACCTTTTGTTCCAGCTGTCATGAGCCCAACATGGGTGCCATGGTAGCTAAGAGGTTAGCACTTTTGCTTTAACTTCAATACCAAGCACTTTTACCCCCTTCCTGCCCATGCCAATTTTCAGCTTTCACCACTGTCACACTTTGACAATTGCGTGGTCATGCAGCACTGTACCCAAATGAAATTTATAACCTTTTGTGTTTTTACATAAAGAGAGCTTTCTTTTAGTGGTATTACATCAATGATGGTGGTGCTAAATAAATGCAAAACGACCAAAAATTTTGAAAAAATTAGTTTTCCTTCGTTCATGATAACATTTTTCAAATAATCTCTCTTCATAAATTTAGGCCAAAATCTATTCTGTTACTTTTCTTTAGTGAAAATAACCTATATCAGTGTTTATTTAGTCTGTAGGAAAATTAGACCACAAACTATGGTATTTATATATCTGAAAATTGATCAGTCCTGATGTACTAACTGCCTATCTCATATTTCTTGAGGCCTGAAAACACCAGGACAGTACAAATACCCCCAAATGACCCATTTCTGGAAAGTAGACCGTCCCAAGATATTTAGTCAAGTATGGTGGGTTTTTTTGAAGCTGTAATTTTTTTTGTCATATTTTGGAAAATTAAATTTAAAATTTCGCAATTTTTTTAACATACTGTCACCAGTGCAGTACAGTGTCATTTAACTGGTGTGGCAGTGATTAGGGACACCCAACTGGTGACAGTATGTAAAAAGGTTTTTTTTTTTCTTAACATACGGTGTCCAGAGTAATAGTGTTACCATAGTAACACTGTACCACTGTGGGGAGCTGATCAAAACTTTTTTATTTTGTTTGCAAACTATAATTTCTTATACCAGTGAATTTTACCGTTATTAGCAACCATTTTTACTGACTTAAATTGATTCATTCACTGTTTACTATTGTGGTTAGCTGTAATTGGCCACAGCCAATCACATGGTATGGCTGGGCTGTGATTGGCCCTGTCTGCATCATGTGATTACTGTGACCAATCACAGAGATCAACACAATAGTACACAATGAAATGCATGAATGAACGCCATCCATTGCGTACAATTGTCATTTGATTTGCTTTGATTGTTCACTGGTACACTTGTTGGTCATCCGCCATGTCCAGTGGACACAACAGGTTTACAGGTCGTGCTGCACTGTGGTCGGTTCTGGGGAGGACGTCATATGACATTGACCCAGAATGGCAAGTGTCTGAGCTTTGGGTATGAATCCCAAACGGAACACCATCTGCATTGAGTTTGATTATTCTCTGCATATTTGCATGGGTTTTCTCCTGTGCACCAGTTTCGACCAATAATCCAAAATATACTGGTAGGGCTTACTTGTCCATTGTGTGAATGTGACTGGGACATTAGAGTGACTTAGCATTGCATAACATGTTGCTGCTATATAATTACTGGAAGTAAATAGTGACTTTGGCTTTATTTAAGTGAATTAACTAATAGCAAGCCTCAGTAAAGTGAAATATAGAGTGGGTTCCCTAATAATGTGGTGAGCATATACAATACAGATAACTTACACATTCTTTTCCTTTTTTTTTTTTTTTCTTTATTTTGGTTTCAGATGAAGATGTCCAGGCAAGGATGAAACAACTCAATAACGAAGGAGGAGAAACACAGAAATAAGGACAATCAAAGTTAGTCTTTTTCTCTAGTAGCTTGCTTGATGGCATTAAAGCAATATGATGTTAAAGCGGAGTTCCACTCACACTCTGTAAAAAAATAAAAGCAGCTACAGTTTTTGTAGCTGCTTTTACTTTTTTTACAGACACTCACCTGTCCCAGGATCCCGCGTTGCCCCCGCCGCAGTCCGTTTCACGGGCCGTCCTGTATTCCAGGCGCCGGCATCTTCAGTGTGGGCACCTGGCTGTGACAGCTTGCTGCTTCACAGCCGGGTGCCCACTGCGCATGCACTAGTAGCTCAGCGCTTCCTCAATGACTCGTCCCCTGGGACCTGTCACGTGTCCCACAAGACTTTGGGGAGGGAGGGTAGGAGGACAACTTAGGCGATCAAAGCGGGAACAGGTACCTGTCAAATTCGGGTACCCGTTCCCCCCCTCCCCCTCTCCAAAGGTGCCAATCTTAATGGGGAGCGGGGGACCAATCTTTAAAGTGGAACTTCCCCTTTTGGGTGACTTCCCCTTTAATAGTGGCATTTATAGGTAGAATTCTCAAATGCTTATCAGTACCTAAGATCTTTTCAGATAAGTGAATGGTCTTTTGATTTTTCTTTTGACATGCTAGGTTTGCTGTTAGCATATGTATATACTGAAGGTCACTGAAGACAGAGCCTGTATTACAAATACAGGAGCTCAGACCTTTACATCATCTTATGGGAAATTGCATCTCCATAAACATTTCTCATGTAAGAATATTGTAATAACGGAAAATGGGTAGATACACCACGGTTTATAAACCATACTAATAAAACCTAGATACAAAAGGTCATAACATTGTCTCTCATTTCTTTTATAGACCAGTAAGGCACAAAACCTTGTGTTTTAAACATCTTGAAAGCTAGCTGCCTGAACATTATTTAGATAATATAATTAAATCTAAAGCTTACAGAATGCAGCGGTTAAGCGTATGTTATTGACAGTGCAGCTGTAGGGGCAGTGGTCAGGAGTGTATAATATGCAACACAGCTTACAGGGTAAGGAATATGTAATAAACAGCATAGTTTACAGACTGCAGCAGTCAGATGTATATCTGGGGTGCTGCTCACTGTGGTGGTGGTCATCAGTGAAGTGCCCCTTTTATTGGTCATGGTCAGTGGTTTCATGCGTCATTGTCTATTGTACGGGAATTAGATGAGGCTGGTATCAATTCACCTTCAAGTACTTAGAGTTCTTGCTTATATAAGGACCTTTTGTGATTTTTTTTTTTTTTCTTTCTTTCTTATTAAACTCTTGCCTGCATTATGCTTTTTTTTTTTTTTTTTTTTTTTAAATAAAAAACATGTCATACATGGATTTTCACAGAGCAGCCCCAGCCTTCTCTTCCTGTGTACCCTGCCAGTGCTCTTGGCCCCTCCTTCCTACTGAGTGCCCCTAGAGCAAGCTGCTTGCTCTGGAGGCAATTGTGCATTGCTCCTGAGCTGTCTGTGTCTATAGGACACGCACAGCACCTCTCGGCCCCACCCCCCCCCACTCTCTCCTCAGTGGCTGTGATTGACCGCTGTGGGAGCCAATGGCTCCCACTGCTGTTTCAGCCAGTGAGGAAGGAAAATCCGGGGAGAGCCACTGCTCTTGTGCACATCGCTGGATCGAGATGGGGCTCAGGTAAAAATGGGGGGTTTCTGCATAGACATAGAATGCATGAAGGTAAATAACCTTTAGCCATTAGAACCACTTTAATGACTGCTGCTATTTTAACCATCTACAGTAGGTACCACAATGATTTTATTTAATATGTATAAACAAAATGATTACTTGAATATATAAACATTATTTCTATCTTTCTAGATCTTAAATTCCATCAAAACCTCTTTGTGGGCCTCATTGGCTGATGGAAACTGACTGACTACAGACTAAAGACATTTGGGTACCTGTTGTGGTGCAGTCCACCCCTTGTAGAAGATAAATTATATACATGGCACAACATTTATAATCACTTATTTTAGTATCTGCTGAGGGCAGTCAAATCTCAGAGACCTTTTAGTAGCCA